GCTTGGAGGTCATAGGATATGCAGATTGAATTAGATAACTCAGAAGTTCAACACTGCAAGCCTTTGGTTCGGTGGGATTGTATTAGAACTTGAATCACAGATAAACTGCGCTAAGTAACTCTCACCTAGTCACTCCCTCCCGAATCGTTCAGTAGAGTTTGTTCTTGTTTGTTTGAGAATGGGTGCTATATCTGCATGGGGAAAAAATAGTCTCCAGCTACTTTCAATTATTAACTACTTAACTATTCTTATTTTCCCTTCATAGTAGTGAGGTTGAGTCCAGAGCCTCAGATAGTGATGAAAGCCTTCCATTTTAAATGTTGCTCTGAAGCTTTTAAAATCAATGTAAAAGACTTAGGTTGAACTGGCTCAACTATTTATAAGACTTAATTGTCCTAAAACTCAGATCTAGCTAGAAACCAAGTTGAATAAACTATTCTACACATTTTAAGCTACATTTACAAACTTATTGTACCCAATTTTCTCATGTGCAAAATTCCTGTCAAGTAAAGCTTAAGAAATATAGTAAGCAGAATTTTTTGAGTGCCCCAGCATTTCTTATAAATTCAGTAGACTAAGGGGCTGAAGCTGCGGCTCAGAGACAGAGATGGGTCGTGTAGTAAGGCCCCGTGCCCAAAGGGGGAAAAATCTATTCATTTTCAGGATTATAATTGTAGTGACTAGGTCTTATTAACACTTAAAACCTTTACAAATATGACTAAATGTGATTATTCATTTAAAATTAATATCACTACCCACTGTTAAATTTTCTTAAGTATGACATGTACTCAGAATTAACTAAATCATGTCATAACAACTGTTACAAGACTTATTCCTAAATTACAGATTTGAAATTACAGATTTCAAAATTCCATCTGGAAAGGTCTCATTTGCTCATCTGGGGCTGGAGAAGGAAGCATCACTCTGAAACAGCACTCAGAATTCAGAGTTCATCCATAATGTCTAAGGCATCATTTCTCCACCTGTGTGATAGGTATGCTCTTCTGTATATATGTTTCTCTTATTAGTTAATGAATACAACAATGATTGGCTGGTTGGCCAGACAGGAAGTGCTGTGGCTGGGCAGAAACTTGCGACTAGCTAACCATAGAGGTCTGGAGGTTTGTACAGATAGACAGGAAGTGCTGTGGCTGGGCAGAATCAGAATATAAACAGGGACAAATGGGAAATCGCTCTCTTCTCTGCAGAGACACTTAACAGTTGGGATGTAGCAGGCAAAGGAGTAACAGGATTGGTCTGTAAGCCAAGACCACGAGGAAATACTTAGAATGATAGAAATGGGTTAATAACTAAGACAGAGCTAGCCAATAGGAAGCCCTAGCCACCGGCCAACAGTATTATAATTAATATGAGTCTCTGTGTGTTCATTTGGGGCAACATGGCTGTGGGACCAGGCTGGCGGGAAAGAGTGCTCATAACACCTGTGGTTGCAACCCCTTTGAGGGTCACATATCAGACAGCCTCCATATCAGATATTTACATTCTGTTTTATTGATTTCAGCCCTCAATTTGATTATTTATTGCCAACTACTCCTTTTGGGTGTGATTTCTTATGTTCTAGAGCTTTCAGGTGTTCTGTGTTAAGTTGTTAGTATAAGATCTCTCTTATTTTTTAAAATGTAGGCATTTAGTGCTATTTAGAACTTTCCTCTTAGTACTGCTTTCATTGTGTCCCGTTAAGTGTGGATATGTTGTGTGTTCATTTCCACTAAACTCTAGAAAATCTTTAATTTCTTTGTTAACTTCCGTCTTGAGCCATTTTCATCCATAGAGAGCTGTTTGGTTTCCATGAATTTGTAAGATTTCTGTTGTTTCTGCTCTTACTTTAGTCCATGGTGGCCAGAGAGAATACAGAGAGTTATTTCACTTTTCTTGTATTTGTTGAGACTTGCTCCATGTCCAAGTATGTGGTTAATTTTTGAGAAAATCCCATGAGGTATATAAGAAGGTATATTCTTTTATGTTTAGTGAAATGTTCTATAAAAATTCTATTGGATACATTGGATTTATAGCTTAGGTTAGCTCCAATATCTCTCTGTTAAGTTTTTGTCTGGATGACTTGTCCACTGGTGAGAGAGGGCTGTTGAAGTGTCCCATTGTCAGGGCGTGAGTGTCAATATGTGATTTAAGCTGTAGTAGTGTTTCTTTTAGGTACTTTAGGTGCCCTTGGGTTTGATGCATAGGTGTTAAGAATTTCAGATTCCTCTTGGTGGATTTTTTTTCTTTGATGAATATGTATTGTCCTTTACTCTCTCTTCTGATTCGTTTTGGTTTGAAGGCTATTTTGTCAGATATTAAAATGGCTACACCGGTTTGTTTCTTAGGTCAGTTGCTTGGGTTATTTTATCTAACCCTTTACCCTGATGTGATGTCTGCCCTTGATGTTAAGGTGTGCTTCACATCCATTCTGTTAGTCTGTGTATTTTATTGGGGAATTCAGATGATGTCAAAAGATTTCAATGACCGATGATTGTTGATTCATGTAATTTTGTTGTTGGTGGTGGTGTGTGCATGCTTCCCCCCCTTTTTTTTTTTTGACTTTGCTGGTCTGGGATTGTTGTTGTTTCCCTGTGTTTTCTTGGATGTAGCTAACCTCTTTAGGTTGGAGTTTACCTTCTAGCACTTTGTAGAGGGATGGATTTGTAAATATATATTGCTCAAAATTTGGTTTTATCATGGAATGTCTTACTGTGTCCATTTATGGTGAGTGAAAGTTTTGCTGGGTATAGTAGTCGGGACTGGCACTTGTGGTCTCTTAGAGCATATCTGTCCAAGCCCTTCTGGGTTTTAGGGTGTCCACTGAGAGGTCAGGCGTACTTCTAATAGGTTTGCCTTTATATGCTACTTACTGTTTTTCCCTTGCAGTCTCCAATATTCTCTCTCTGTTCTGTACATTTAATGTTTTGATTATTATGTGTCAAGGGGACTTTCTCCAGATTTCCTAGATGTTTGCCAGGGCTTTTAGAGTTAACATCGTCTTTGATCTGTGTACCATTTCTTCTATCATGTCTTCAATGTCTGAGACTCTCTTTCCCATCTCTTGTAATCTGTTGGTGAAGCTTGCTTCTGTGGTAGCTGTTCCAGTTCCTGTAGTTTTCATTTCCAGATTTTCCTCAGTTTTGGTTTTCTTTATTGATCCTATTTCCATTTTTCAGGTCTTGGATGGTTTTATTCATTTCCTTCAACTGTTTCTTTGTGTTTTCGCAGATTTCTTTAAGGGATTTGTTCCGTTCCTCTTTAAGGGCCTCTATCATATTCTTAAAGGCTGTTTTTAAAGTCTTTTTCTTGTGCTTCAGCTGTGTTGGCATATTCAAGGCCTGCTGTGGTAGGATCGATGGGTTCTAGTGGAGACACAATTGCCCTGGCTGTTACTGATTGTGTTTTTACAATGACATCTAGACATCTGGGTTTAGGAAGATTGTAATTCTAGGAGCTGGTATCTGGTCTTGCCTTTGTTGGGTGGGTGTTTTGTTCCTTGTTTTTTTTTTTTTTTTTTTTTTGTTTTTTTTTTTTTTTTTTTTTTTCTCTCTTTGTTTTCTCTCTCTCTCTCTCTCTCTCTCTCTCTCTCTCTCTCTCTCTCTCTCTCTCTCTCTCTCTCTCTCTCTCTCTCTCTTTCTCTCTCTCTCCCCACACTTTTGAGGAGAATGTGGCAGCTGTGTGCTGCCTGTAGGAAAATCTTCAGGGGTCCTGATAGATGTGGGCACTGGGGGTCCAGGTAAAATGTGTTTCTGGGTCTTGGCAGCTGACACTTAGGATTGGGGATGAGCTGTCGGCACAGGAGGGCATTAACAAGAGGGAGGAAAGCAAGGTGTTCCATTGCGGTCTGCATAGTTAGTCTCTTGGCAATGGAAGCAGAGAGTGAGGAGTGGCCATAGCAAAAGGTCCACTGCAGAGCTGGGGATGAGCCTGGGGGTTTGGACTTTGAGGATCAGAGAGAGAAGTCAAGAACTGCTATTAGTCTACCTGTTTCACTGCCCATTGCGGCCTGTGGGTTCCCAGGGGCGTCTGCTGGAGTGTGGAGGGGGGCAGGAGAGCAATGAGTTGGGGGAGGGAGTTCAGGAGGGGAAATCTGTGGGACCCGCCAGAGATGAGGCTGCTGCAGGTGTTCTGTTCCAGAACTGGGGAAGAAACTAGGGGCTGGATCCAGAGGACTGGAGGGAGAGGTTGCCTACCTTCTTTCCTGACAGGCAGTGACGATGCGGGTGAGGGCTGCTCCCCTGGCTGGAGTTTTGAACACATGTTAATGTGATGTGGAATGGGTACTCGAATGAACGTGAACTCTCACCGCTGAGAGGTGGTCATTGTCCTTAGGTCTTAGGAGAGCCTTAGGTCTTCCTCTATAAACGGAGAAGCAGCCACACAGCATCGTTCCGCACAGGACTGCCAAGCCTTGTGCCTTGGCTCTTACAAGGGAATAGCATTTATTCAAACATCAGGATCAGAGAACTTTAAA